TCGAATATTAGGCCTACTTTTGCAGGTTAAAATGGCATTTTAGAGCAAAATGTTTAATCGACAACTTCCCCCCCCTTTCCTTCATTTATGGACATTGTACAGACAAGAAACACTTTTGTTCAATGAAAAATTACTTTAAGTAAGCCACAAATCTTAAACAGATTTTATCAATATTAGAAATAGGTATTTAACATACCTTTGAAGAGAACATTTGACAGCTGCTGAGTATTTTGTTCTTGTAACAAGTCTGATTTGACCTCGATCACGTGCTGTAACGTCACATTTTGTTTTCCAGTATTTCCATGGATAACTCTGTTTGCACCATCTTTTGAGAATTTGCGAATTTTCTCCAGAATTTCATCAGTTTTTAGTTGCGTTTCCTGCTTGAATAGATCGTTTTCTATTTCTTCAACCGGCTGAAATGATTCTACGTTGAACCGGCTTCGTTTTGGAAACGTTGGCTTACGAACCGGACTGTTTTGATCTTCTCTTCCAAGTTCCGACACTTCCTGAAAAACTATAGGAAAACGTTTAAATGAATTTATAAATTTTTTTCCTTTTTTATTTACCTAAGTGCAATGGCTCTGATTGTGATAAAGATCTTTTTCTGCTAAAAAACTCCTTTGTTTGGTTTGGTTTTAAACTTGCTCCTTTCAGGGGCTCACCGTCAAATAGTGAGCACAAGCAAACCCTGAAACGTGAAATATTATTTTTATGTTCATTTTTAAAATTTGTTTTTCTTTTTGTGTCGGAATAGAAACAAGGTAAGAATTCTGTTCATGTATTATTAACGACTGTTTTAAATTTGATTAAATATCTATCAAACTACAATATTTGTCAATAAAATATCATAATCTTTTTATTTTTTATTCTTTCCAGACGAAATTTCATATCCTAAGCTGAAATATATACTAAATGTATCCATACATATTTTCAAGTTCAAAATCAGAAAATCATGAAATGTTGTTTGTCAAATAATATTTTTTTTATTAAGAAGTACACAACTATATAATATCTGCTATGCCTCTAATATATGTGTTTTTTATTTCATTTTAATGCATTGATATGGTATATTAGATTAGATATGAGGTCAAACTTTTTGAAAACGAACCATCCGAAATAAAATCAAACCCGTAGTAAATATAATTCTAATAAAATGTTTACTAAGATCTTTTTACAGGAATTCACATTTCAAATCATGATTGGTCGTCTTCTAATTGTCATGTTTACTCAAAAACACGGTAGTATGAAGAAAGGTTTTTTTTATCTTTTTTGATAATTTTTATCCAAAATTGCTGTTCGGACTGAAATTCATTTATTTTCTCCAATTTAGCGAATAAACACCTTAACCATTTGTTGGCATACACATACCTTCGGGGGAAAACGATTTTCAAAGGCCATTAAAGGTTTAGCCTCTCCATCATTAAAAAAACCAAATTTTATTTTGTTCTAACCTGATTAAAAGAAATAAACTAAAAAACTTCATAATTTGCTGAATTTGATCTCTATCACCTTGCTTTCCTCTCTACATAGAACAACTTTTCATTTTCACTAGCTCTGAAAAAAATATTAAGTTTTGGGCGTAAAAGTCGATTTTTTCTATTATTTTGTTGTAACTTTGTAATCAGAAAAAATATTGGCCACTTAAATTAAGAGAATTAGTTATTTTACAAGGTTTACCAACACGATGGGGTTTCAGAGACAGTGGAAAAGAAATTATTTATTTTTTTACATTCATAGTTTGCCTTGTTTAGTTCATTAGTTTTAGTAATTAATTTATTTTTAGCATGAGCTCCACATATCTAACTTTGCTTTTGGTCTGCTGTACAGTAACAGGTATTTAAAATAAAGTATGGAATGGAACAAAAAAAGGGCTTAAATCTTAATAAAATTTTTTTCACATTTTACGGACGTTTGATGATATCTCGGGAACTAATTTATTATTATAAACAACAAGCTGTAGGGCCTGTGGAAAAAAAATAAAAAAATAAAGCAATTTCACCCCATTCTGTCCAGCCGTTTGGTGGGCTATCGGTGACATATTTACGAATGTCTTGTTTTATTATAAATAATAAAAAAGATTGTAAACGGAGCTCAAGATTACAGGGCAAGGACGGGAAAGTCTAAGTAATCACTATATGTTGCACGAGTTAACATGAATTCAATCATTGCNGTCCATTTATAACAATCAACATCATAAACATCGCTGCAGGGAGTTCTGGTAGTGTTCCAGAGAGTTCACAAGTTGATGAAAGCACAAATACTGCTGATGAAGTCCAGGTACAGAGTGCTTTAGAAAATTATTTTTTAAACCTAATATTTGTATGTATATCTTGATTTCTTTTTATTCAGATATCTAAATTTTAGAATGTTTTTTTTGAATATTATCATTTCATAATTGTAATTTTTTTATTTTAATTTTTGTATAGGATACGAAGATATTCCTTTTATACATCATTGTTGGTTCTATGATTGGATCTCTAATTGGCTTTTTGATGAATTTCATGATTGGATCTGTTATTGGCTCCGGGGTTGGCTCACTGATTAGTTCTTTAATTGGATACCTTCTTGGCTCCGAGATAAGCTCAATGCTTGATTTCATGATTGGCTCCACAATTGGATCTGTGATAGGATCCGTATTCAGCTCCATTATTGATGTTTATTATGGATCTATGATTGGTTCAATGTTTGACTACATGTTTGGATCTACAATTGGCTCCTTGATTGGATTGTTGATTAGCTCCATAACCGACTACATGATTGACTCCCTAATCGGCTCCATATTTGGCTATGTTGGAAGCGCCATAATAGGATTCTTAATCGGCTCTACGGCAGGCTACCTCATCATGTTCATGGGGGATATTATGGTCCGGTCGCTACTGCTGCCGATCCTTACAACAATTATTGGTTTCATCATTGGATTTTTCTTTTACGACATCATTAATTGGATCTACACCATTCTCTTTAAATATGTAAAATTATTTATCTTTTAAATTATATAAAATGCGTACGTCGAGTAAAACGAAGTTTAATTAATTACCTGAAAAAATTTCCACATTTTTATCCAAAAAGACACTAATATTGTGTATAATTAGATATATAAAATTTAAAGAGAAACATTTTTTTATTGTTTGGATTTCTAGGGTGGTTGGTGGGGGTCTTAGTAGGATTATGGAACCCCCTCCCCCTGGACCATTTGATCTACCTGCTCATTTTTTATTTAACCTTGGTCCTGATATAATCTTCTTTAGTACCTGATAAAGAAAATTGAATCCAATAAACCTATCAGTTGACGAGACTTAAAGGGACTGTTGGTGTAAATTTAAGGGACCCTCAATGCAAGGATGTCAATGCTTGATTACAACGGTATCCTGAAAAGTGGGTTTTTATCGGAGAGTTTGACTGTGCAGAACATGTATTATTTCCTAAATGCTTAATTAAGCGTAATTAAGTTTTTTTTATAGACGCACTAAAAGAATCCATTAGAGGCATTGTTTACGATCCGGCCATTTCATTTGATGACCCGCTCGGAAAAAATGAAGTATAAAATAATCACATTTTTTATTAATTCTTCTGCCCAAACTTGATGAATCATTCAGAAATTGGGAAGTTTTTACTTTTTTACAATCTCTCATATAGTTAATTGTTAAGATTTGTGTTTAAGGAACACATTTTGGTTGATAATATGCTCCACGGATCCGGATCTAGGATGCCAAAATGTTGCGGATTCGGATCTGAAGCACTGCTGAGATGTAAATGTGATTATTTCAAAATTGAATTCTCTTTTAGTTTGCTCTTTTACTCTGATATAAGGAGGCCAAAACCAAAAATAATGATTACACGTGGCAGAGACACCTAGCGGAAAAAAAAGTAGTTTTAACATTGTATAATTATATATATTGTCTGTAGCCGGCCAAACGGCTGGACCGATTGGGCTGAAATTTTTTGTGGACACTCATGGGTCGCCGGGGGGTGTTATAGTCTAAACAAATTCGAAATTAATAAAAAAAATATTTTTTTCAAATTATTTTTCACGGGCAACGCCGGGCCCTTCAGCTATTTGTGTATAAATCAAATAACAAATATTATAAAATAGTAACTATATACGAATGCGTCGAAAAATAATCGATGACTTTAGGTTGAAATATCTGAATGATTTGTTTGAATTTAAATTGATTATTTTACAAAAAGTAGCGTATATTGCAATTTTCTGAATTTGTATGGACGCTACGTTCTTCAGTTTAAGTCGTTTTTAGCAACTTTCTCCTTATTGACGAAATTTTTCGCGAACACTCCCTTTAACTTCCTAATTACCTAATTAAGGACGAATAAGAATAAGATTAATGTCAAATTACTAAAAGCTCTAAGTACAGCTCTGTGTGCTGTAATCAAATTATAAATGTATAGAAGAAAATTACAAGATAATTCGGGATAATCCTAAGAGAGTAAATATGTCCAAAAAGATAAACCAAACAGATTTAATAAAAGACGCGTAAAAAAATTAATCCTTACATTACTTCTTTCGTCGGTTAATGTTCTAGGTGTCTCGCACTGAGAACAATATTGCGCTTTTCTTTAAAAGTGACTTGGTTCGTTATTAAGTGTTGTTAAGGTTCCACAAAATCTGAGAAGTTTTAAAATTTAAAATTATTTATTCATTGGCTTTTCTTGCACTTTGCCAACTTTTGACCCTGAGGAAAAAGGTATATGAAAACGAACCAAAAACGAAAATTTTTTTATTGGTAAAATTAAACTTGTTATGTGGAGTTAAGCCCGAAAACGTAAGTAAACTGAAATGTGATAAAAAATTCAAAAATATTTTTAAAACATGGAATAAAAAAAATCCGCAAATCCATTTTTTTAAAAAAAAAACGGTCGCAAATATGTGTTTTTTCACCAAAATTCCATAAAAATTCATATAAAATTTAATGAAAAATAATAAAAATCCGCAAAATTCTGAGTGAAAAACTGCAGTTATCAAACTATAACCTTCAACTGTTATGACTTCAAAAATGCGAATAGTTGGCTTACATTTTTGTTATCTCATAAAATTTTGATGAATATTTAGAAAATTTTGGAAAACGATTGAATAAACGTTTTCCCAAACATTTTTCAAAAAAATGGTTTCGCGGATTTTCTTACTGTTCCAAAACTATTTTTAGATTTTTTTCTCGTATTTTATTTTATTTATACCAAAAATCCGAACAAAATAAAATTTTTTACTCCCCATGTATAAAAAAACTAAAAAAATTTAATTTATATTTTCTATAAATGCATTTCTACATTACTATTAACAATAATATTTACAATTAGAAAATAAGATTTAATGTTAACAAGACAATTAACTGTAAAGATGCTGCAGGTAACCAGAGCTGGAAACTAGTGAATAGACGAATTAAGTTTATTACCCTAATTCTTTACCCTCGGGTAGGTTAAGTTATAGAATTGGTAAAAAGTATAAAGCAAACAGTTTTAGAACTGGTCAAGGATTCCAGGAAAGTGGCGAGCCTTTATAGAATTGTATTGAGCAAGAAGAACAAATGTTATGAAAACTTTAACAATTTCAGATTTGTATCTTTAGTTTTTTTATGTTTTAAGAGCTGCTACTTGCCTCCTTGCAAAATCTTACCTAATATATTAGACACAATTTTTTCTTATAAAACATTTTCTTCATTAGGTAAATAAAAATCAGAAAGAAGAGCGTTGCCTCCTTTTCAAGATGAAAAAATCATCGTTCCTTGAGGGAAAAGGATTTTAACTCTTCTGAGCTGATTTTGAATCAGTTCCGTTCATTTGTTCGTTTCCAGCTCAGGTAAAATAAAAAACGTCATAACTATCTAGAAATAAATTTGTCGGAAGCTTGCAGGTAGCTATATGTCTGTTTGTTTTTAGACCGTGTTTTGACTTTATTTTCAACATTTTTCATAATGTTATACGGCGAGCTATTTTCTTTTAAAAATTTAATTCTATATATTTTCCTTTCTTGAACCTGGAAGAAGATATGTGGGAAAAAAGACCCAAAAACAAACGTGTTGTAACGATCATTTTTGGAACGTTTTTCCATTTTTTTAAGGATAAAGATTTAGCTAAGTAAGCTTCTACATAAAAATCAATTAAAAACACTAATTGCAAGGACTAAATGATATTATGCACAGTAAATTCAACATGGAATCTTCCGGTAATTAATCTTTGTTTTTGGGTAACTTGAATGGCAGGAAAATTGTTTTAGCAAAGTATTGAGTTTAGTTTTTATCTTTAACAATAATCTGACAAATATGGTATAATATATAATATATGCAATAATGCATGGTAACTACAAATCAGAATCCAAATCTTTCTTTTTTCAGTGTAAAATGAAGGAAAAAGTATCGACATTGAATCAATTTTTTAGATTCTTTGAATTCTACTAAAATATATTGATATTCGCGTTTTCATTCATTCTATAATTCATCTAAAATCTAAAAACATGTTTTACAGATTTTGGGTAAACATGTACATTGTACAGGGGCGTATATTAGGATTTCCTGGGAGGGGGGGTAAATTTTAATTATTTGCGCACCTAGCTCGACGATTTCTCTTTTAACCCCCCCCCCCCCCCCCCTAGACCATGTACAACCCCATTCATGATGTATATCAAATTATGGGTTTCATTTCAATTTCACAATAATTTCTGGGATTAACAAACTATATCAAATGAAAGGCTTCCTTTCTTAGTTTATATCAAAAAGATTGCATATTATAAATTTAGACTTCTTAAACAGCTTATAAAATAGCAAATCCACCAATATGAAAAATCCGGGATGATCAGCCACCTGTGCCCTGGGAACAAATTAATTGCAGTGTTTTGAAGAATATTCATCATAACGAAGTAAGGATATGTAAGAGGAGTGGATGAAAATGTTTGTTGGCAGGTTCTACATCAAAAACTACCATGCCAATTATTATTCATATTTTCCCCTGATAGTTAAGGACATCACTGGAAAAAAAAACATTTTTATAAAAGCCCCATAGACTACCAATTTGGAGTTAATGTTTCTCATGAAATTTGTCCTAAGTCAAAATCCAATCACCAAGCGTAAATTTAAAACTGAGTGAGTAAGAGCGTTTTTCAAAAGTCTCAATTTATAGTGAACACCTTTATGATATATTCACTAATTACATTGACTACATTTACTCTGTAAAAATTGTTTATATTTTTCCTTGTAATGGTAATCATGTACATGGAGAATGAAGATCAAGTTTCTAAACTGGGATATTTATGTCCCCAAGATTCTAGGGGGAGATTCTAAGGGTAGTAGCAGCTCCGAGTACAGGGATTAGTACTGTTCATGGTTTCAGGTTTAGTGCAGCTCCGAGTACAGGGATTAGTACTACTCATTGTATCAGGTTCAGTGTAGCTCCGAGTACAGGGATTAGTACTGTTCATGGTAACAGGTATAGTGCAGCTCCGAGTACAGGGATCAGTACTGTTCATGGTTTCAGGTTTAGTGCAGCTCCGAGTACAAGAATTAGTACTGTTCATGGTTTCAGGTTTAGTGCAGCTCCGAGTACAGGGATTAGTACTGTTCATGGTTTCAGGTTTAGTGCAGCTCCGAGTACAGGGATTAGTACTACTCATTGTATCAGGTTTAGCGCAGCTCCGAGTATAGGGATTAGTACTGTTCATGGTTTCAGGTTTAGGGCAGCTCTGAGTACAGGGATTAGTACTGTTCATGGTTTCAGGTTTAGTGCAGCTCCGAGTACAGGGATTAGTACTGTTCATAGTTTCAGGTCTAGTGCAGCTTCGAGTAAAGGGATTAGTACTACTCATTGTATCAGGTTCAGTGCAGCTCCGAGTACAAGGATTAGTACTGCTTATGGTTTCAGGTCTAGTGCAGCTCCGAGTACAGGGATTAGTACTGCTCCAGGTGGTATAAGTACTATCAAAGAACTGTGTTTCTGATATAGTAGTTTTATTTTTGTCTACTTCAAGAGAATTCTCTTCAGAAGAGTTTTCAACACTTTCCTTACACTTATATAAATGCGGACCCTGAACTTGCTCGTGTTTAACAAGATGTATTCTTGGGCCCTGGAATGACTTGGTGAAGAGGACATTGTTTTCTTTTTTGTAACCTAAACAAAGATTATTAGATTTTTTATTACAATAAACATGTTTTCGTAAGATTTAGTAATACATTTGAAATCACAATATTCAGATATTCAGGCTTCAATATCTGTTTTCATAATTAAAGGTTTAGATTTTTAATTTTTAGTAACAATGAGGAAGATATTCCCTTTCTTCTATCTTAAAGAGACTATTTCTGGCAATCTCCAGTTTTGGATAGAAAAACGTGAATATCTCTTTCGTTTTTTAGCTCTTACACAATGGTGTTTAGTTCCATTTCAGGCCAATTCTAAGAAACTATCACTCCAATAAGAGAGCACAGAAATACTCAAGAAAAAACCGCATTTGATGCAAATGGTATACACTATATTTGTTTTACAATTTTAATATATATAATATACGGTCTTCCAACCACCAAAATCGCAAATATTTAGCGTTGAGAACTTTCTGAGTATTGTTGAGAACATGGCTGTCTTGAGAAAATAATTAATGATATGAAAATATATAAAAAAAATTTGTAGTCGATTGCTGGCATTTTCTCAATGTCAACTACAGTTGGTTTTAGATGTAAAATGGGAGTCAGATCGACAAAGGAGACTAATGAGTGATAATCAATGAATTTGAACCGCCCAAAACCGGTTTCAATTAAGCGCCGGTTTAAATATTGAAACATTGAAACACATTTTTAAGTGGGACAAACTATATTTGAGCCACGTATTAAATCCTTTAAATTCGGTCTCAGTAATAAGTAATTTTAGGAGAATACCTTGAGATCAAACAGAAGCATAGTTAGAAGTGTAGGGACTAGCTGGGGGAGTAGAATACGACCTAGCTAAAGCAGGAGGAGCTTTACCTAATCCTAGATAATGGTAATGGTAATGGTAATGGTAATGGTAATGGTAATGGTAATGGTAATGGTAATGGTAATGGTAATGGTAATGGTAATGGTAATGGTAATGGTAATGNGATAATGATAATGATAATGATAATGATAATGATAATGATAATGATAATGATAATGATAATGATAATGATAATGATAATGATAATGATAATGATAATGATAATGATAATGATAATGATAATGATAATGATAATGATAATGATAATGATAATGATAATGATAATGATAATGATAATGATAATGATAATGATAATGATAATGATAATGATAATGATAATGATAATGATAATTTTAAACTTTATTGCAGCAGATTACATTGATGAAAACGACAGTATTTATATTGTTAAAATTGAAGGGAAAAAAATGCTTTTCCTTTATTAGAGAACCGAGTCTTTGCCTCGAACTCAAATTGTGATCCCGAGATCTTTTCAATTTGATGAAATATCAAAAGTATACGACATCTGGTTGCAAATTCCTTTCTTCTAATAATTCGTGGTATTTCAGTGTTTGATCTCGAATATTGGATTCGGGTTTGGTTGCGCCTATTTCTCCCACTACGAGGAGTCAGGTATAGGAGCACAGTGGGAGAACGTGTGGGTCAGCCCGCTCCTGGGAGACTCCTTCTCTCTGGCAGGATGCATGGGAATGCTCCTCATAGACTCCGCTCTCTACGGAATACTTACTTGGTAAATTTATACTCACTATTAATCAGGTGATGAAGGGGGGGGGGTGATTTTTAAATATTTCCCTTCTTTAATTAGTTTTTTCTCTTATTTTTTTTTCTATTAACACGCCTTGCCTTCATGGGTTCACCTTGCAGCTATTCTGGATAATTACAAAGCTGCAAAACTTTTATATAAGCTTTAGTTTTGGTTGAATATTTTGTTGGTATTTTCAATTTAAAAAAATGTCTTCTTAATATTTGTCTGAAAGAATTGGGTATTGCCCCAAACTCATATTTTCCAATGGCTATAATATCTTTACAACCCAATGTTTTAGACCTTAGATATTTTAAACTAAGAATTCTGCAAATCAAAAAAAACTAAGTTTGAAATATTAAAGGTTTTCACCTTTAGGAGATTAGATATAAAAATTTAGTTAATGGCAAAGACTTAATTCCTTTAGGTATATAGAAGCAGTGTTTCCTGGTGAGTTTGGGGTTCCTAAACCCTTCTACTTCTTCTTAACACTCTCCTACTGGACAGGGAGGTCTAGAAGGATTCTACAGGTAAAAGGATAATGCCCAATGTCGTCTTTATTTAAAAAAAAAGATTTTAGCAAAATATTTTGCGTTTACAATGTACAAATAGTTGTTTGATATAATAATATATGTTTAGAATAACAGTGAACCGGATATATGTTTAATATGGTTTGAACCGGATATATGTTTAGCATAACAAAGAGCCGGATATATGTTTAGTATGATAGTGAACCGGATATCCGGATGGGAGAGAGACCGAAGCATACGGAATCTGAACCAACACATCTCAAACTAGGTATGATTTCGTATTACAACCCATCAGTAAAAAGATGGAACTCTTAAAGGGACTGTAAGCGTTATTTCAAGCGACCCTCCATGCAAAGATGACAATGCCCTATTCACAACGGTACCATTGAAACCTTAATCTGATTAAAAATGTGGAAGATATTGTTGTTTTTCTGTTTTTTATTTCTCATAATTTTACCATTGTTTTTCTGTCCTTTCAGCAAAAACGGCAAATAAACAGTTTATAGAAAAAAACCATAATTCATACTGATCAGACAAACATCTTAACTTGGCACCGTTGTAAATCGGGTATCGCCATCTTTGCATGGAGGGTCACTTGAAATTACGCTTACAGTCCCTTTAAATAAAGCTAATTATTAAAGTAGTCCGTGCATCGATTAAAAATTTAATAACTGTTCAAACTTTATAAATATTAAAGAACAACTATTTTTTAATTATCATTTTTAGGTGTCTCGATCAAGCATCTTCACAAGGAAAATCCTCATTATTTATTAAAAATGAAAATTTTTTAAGGGACGAGATAAATTTCTGTATTTTTTATCAAATAACGTCAAGACTACCAAACTTATCAGACCTAAAGGATCTGTGTTTTTGCCACAAACTCAAATTTTCTAATCCTGATATCTTTGCAACCTATGGTGTAAACCTTGGATATTTGAAGTTTATAATTTTTAATCTAACAGAACTCATAGATTGAACAACATTGGGTTGCAAAAATAAAGGAATTTTGAAGAAAATTTGAGTTTGAGGCAAAATTTCAATTTCTTTCGTGCAGTAATTTAAGCAAAGGTTAAAGCCGGTTGAAATAAGAAATTGCTTCCGAAAATTAAGATTTTTCTAAAAGACTTCCCTGGAAAATTAAAACAGGAAAATCCGTAAAAAAAAGAAAGAATAGAAAGTGCTTGCTTATAGTTCTGCCAGAAAAATTGACTGCAAAGTCTAGTAATTTTAGTTTTAAAAGATGAGTTTACATTTTCTGGAACCTTGCTTTTGAGTGTCACGTATGTCTTTTTATAGGGACTATAAGCATAATTTCAAGTTACCCTCCATACAAAGATGGCAACTCCCGATTCAAAACAGTACCATTAAAAGCTTTGTCTGTCCAAGTAAGAATTATATATATCCATGTTTATAATTTTAAAATCTGTTTATTTTCAATTGTGAGTTGTGCGCATTTCTTTTCCAGGTTTCAAGGGCATTGTGAATCTGGCATTTCCAACTTGAAATTACGCTTACAGTCCCTTTAAGTTGCATCTACGACAACAAAGATGAGTTTAATGAGTTTAAACATATTGTGTTCATGTTCTGAATGTTGTACATGAGGGTTTTGTGTACTGCAGGTGTACAACAACGGTAAGATAGCTGTCGAGGATTTAAACCTGAATTTCTACGAGGGGCAAATAACCAGTTTTCTAGGACACAATGGAGCAGGGAAAACTACAACTATGTGAGTATTTATTAATATTCTTCAATGCATAGCAATTGTACGCAATAATCTATTTACAATTTTTATTTATACAACAAGATATTGATTGTTTTTTTTTAAATATTTGTTTAATTTTTTATACTTTTTGTGTAGAACAATTTGTGTTATGTATTTAGCAAGTGTTTTTAAGTTATACAAAATACAGTTTTTGTTTGATTTCAGATTAAATTTCTATTTATTTATATATTTAGTACTACTATGTCAATTTATGTAACCACATTGATAAAAAAAGTTTTAAACTCTTAAGCAAAAAATCGCTGAGAGTTTTGCCAATTACTTCATAAAAACTTAATCTAATAATTCAAGTGCTAAAACGTGCATGTCTAGGGTTACAAAAAGAGTATAATAGAGCTAGAGTAAGATAAAATCAAAGTCCAACCGTCAAAAAGGGTCAAATAATCGGGACCGGGCCCAAATTTAAAATAATCGGGGCCGGGCTCAAATTTCAAAGAAAAAATGACGACTTGAAAAGCTAGCTTAGTAAATAACGTATATATATTATATATAAACTGTTGTACTTATATAAATCTTTAACCGGATACATTTAGTACCAACAATATATTCTATATCTAAATATATGTTTAATACCATACTATCTATCTATCTATCTATCTATCTATCTATCTATCTATCTATCTATATATTTATCTATCTATCTATCTATCTATCTATCTATCTATCTATCTATCTATCTATCTATCTATCTATCTATCTATCTATCTATCTATCTATATATCTATCTATCTATCTATCTATATATCTATATATTTTTTTCTATTTATGCATTTATCTATATATCTATTTATCTATGTATATCTATAAATCTATTAAATATATCCATCTATTTTTTATCTATCTATTTATCTATCTAGATCTATCCTGACTGGTCTATTCCCTCCCTCTGCTGGAACAGCTCTGATCAACGGATTAGGAAATTATTCCAAAAAAATCAAATTTACAAAATGTTATTTGAATAAAGTTAGGGACAAATTAATCGAATTAAAACTAAAATCACAATGATGAAAACAAGTAAATTTTACCTAAAAAAGTGTTGGTTATAGATATTAGATTATTTTTTAATATAGAAGGTGTCTAATATTGATTTTAAAGTAAAGGGATTGTAGTTGGGATTTTACAGAGATTTGGATGATATTATTGAAATATTGAATAACTTGTTATCAGATATAACTAAAGATATGGATGATATTATTAAATATGGAATAACTTGCTATCAGATATAACTAAAGATATGGATGATATAATTAAATATTGAATAGCTTGTTATCAGATATAACTAAAGATATGGATGATATTATTAAATATTGAATAACTTGTTATCAGATATAACTAAAGATATGGATGATATTATTAAATATTGAATAACTTGTTATCAGATATAACTAAAGATATGGATGATATTATTAAATATTGAATAACTTGTTATCAGATATAACTAGAGATATGGATGATATAATTAGATATTGAATAACTTGTTATCAGATATAACTAGATATATGGATATGATATAAGTAGATATTGAATAACTTGTCAGATATAACTAGAGATATGGATGATATAATTAGATATTGAATAACTTGTTATCAGATATAACTAAAGATATGGATGATATTATTAAATATGGAATAACTTGCTATCAGATATAACTAAAGATATGGATGATATAATTAAATATTGAATAGCTTGTTATCAGATATAACTAAAGATATGGATGATATTATTAAATATTGAATAACTTGTTATCAGATATAACTAAAGATATGGATGATATAATTAAATATTGAATAACTTGTTATCAGATATAACTAGAGATATGGATGATATTATTAAATATTGAATAACTTGTTATCAGATATAACTAAAGTTATAGATGATATTATTGAATAACTTGTTATCAGATTTAACTAAAGATATGGATAATATTATTAAATATTGAATAGCTTGTTATCAGATATAACTAAAAATATGGTTGATATTATTAAATATTGAATAACTTGTTATCAGATATAACTAAAGATATGGATGATATTATTATTAAATATTGAATAACTTGTTATCAGATATAACTAAAGATATGGATGATATTATTAAATATTGAATAACTTGTTATCAGATATAACTAAAGATATGGATGATATTATTGAATAACTTGTTATCAGATATAACTAAAGATATGGATGAAATCAGAAACTCAATGGGAACATGTCCACAGCACAATGTTCTTTTCCAACAGTAAGTTTAAACTTTTCTTAAAAAGAGTGTTAAAGGGAGTGACCGGCTATGTAAGGTAGTTGAACTGAGGACGCAGCGTTGTGGAAAACTTCTTTAGGATTCATTTGAGACATATTTCACTTTTTAAAAGTCTGTAAATCCTGAGTTTGAGCGCAAATTCGACGTTCAAAACTCCTGATTTGGGGGTGGATACGTTTTCAGAATTAGTTTTTTTAAGATTATTAATTAACAACGACATAAAATGTAAAAATATTCTACAATAAACTACAGACGTCATTTTTAGGAACATTTTGAGAAAATAAAAATTAATCTTATCATCGAAAATAAGTAATCTTATTCAATTATTAGTTTCTATTATCTCATTATTCTAGTTTCTCGTTATTCACAAAGATGGTCGCAGATTTTCTATAATTATTATTGAAAAGACGACATTTAAAGAATTTGAAGAAATCTGTGAATAAATTCAAAGAAAATTAGAAATTCAATATAATAATGAAAACGAAGTAATCGATTTTAGCATTGATTTATTGACAAATTTCTTTTGTGAAATATGTTCCTAGCCATCTAATTAGATTACTGTATAATTTTTACTTTATTTTTCGTTGTCGTTATTTAATAATTAAAAAAAAACTAATTCTGAAAGCGTATCCACCCCCAAATCAGGAGTTTTGAACGTCGAATTTGCGCTCAAACTCAGGATTTACAGATCTTTAAAAAGTGAAATATGTCTCAAATGAATCCTAAAGAAGTTTTCGACAACACTGCATACTCAGTTCAATTACCTTACATAGCCGGTCACTCCCATTAAATAAATAAAAGAAAAGGGAGTAATGGCCGGGTTTAATCTTTGATTCTAGTTCAAATTCATTCAGGCCTGAAATCCAAATATCTACACTACAATATCACATAATGATTTAAGAAAAAGACAACAAGGTAATTGAGTCTTTGTCACAAATTCAAATTTTCGAATCCCTTTATCTTTCCAACTGATCGGTTTCAAACCTTTGACGTTTCAAACTTAGATTATTTGTTCCAACAGAATTCATAGTTTGAAATATCTGAGGTCTCCGACATCGATTTGCAAAGATATAGGGATTAGAAAATCAGAGTTTGTGGCAAATACTCAATTCCTTTATGTAAACAGAAAAAGCGGACATTGATACATCGAATACCTTGATAGATTGATTTATTAACAGACAAATTATGTTTTCAAATACTAAAATATGGAGCTTTTAAAAGAATTTCATTATAATTTTAGATTACAGTTTGATCTTGGATTTAAGCGAATTGCTGATTTTTTCCCCTTTTTTAATGAACGCCTTGTCTGTCTTGGAAAATATCAATTGTAACGATTTTTCTTCATAATCCTTTATTCTATTCTATCCTTTCCATTCCATTCTTTACATTCCATACTTTGTATCCTGATATTCTGAATGTGTAATCCGTAGTATATATTAATTACATGGCAGAGGTGCCAAGTTTTCAAGTAAATATACATATACTCAGATGTAAGTCAAATATACGGAGGGGGGTGAGGGGAGGGATGATATTATTGAATAACTTGTTATCAGATATAACTAAAGATATGGATGATATTATTGAATAACTTGTTATCAGATATAACTAAAGATATGGATGAAATCAGAACAAATTCGACTTGTACTTATTTGCCTGTATAACATTTTGCTACTTAACATTTTTCCTGTGCAAAAATGGTGTTTTTTTTGCCTAACCTAGCATTTTGATGATGTAACTGTTGTTTTTGCCTAATTCTAGCTGCGGCGCTCGGCCCCTAAATTGTCTTAACCTAATCAAACCAGAAAGAAGGTGAGAGACAGGGCATTATTCAACATTAAAGAGGCTGCAGCGCTAGGCCCCCTAGCCCAACCTAGCCGCAGCGCTCTACCCAGAAATTGTCTTAACCTAACCTAACCCAACATTAAAATTAGAAAATTCTACATTTGAAACGCTCTGCCTTTTCAAGAGAATTAATATGGCTGAATTTGCAGAATTTTCAAATCAGTTTCTCGGGTTTTTATGTTTGTGAGTGTTTCAAGAAATTCATGGTTTAAGCGAAAAATAAACTCAAATGTTATACTGGCTAATTGTTATACAGGCAAACTGTTATTCAGGCAAACTGTTATTCAGGCAAATTGTTATAGAGGCATGTTGTTATACAGGCGAATGTGTACTAGGCAAATTAGTACGAGGCGAATGAGTTCTAGGCGTATGAGTTCTAGGCGAATGAGTATTGAGTACTAGGCGAAAGTGTACTAGGCAAAATATTACTGATCCCATGATATTGTGTAAACTTGCAGTACATTGTACATTATTAATTATCTATGTTTGTAAACTCTTACGTAAAAACCATTATTCATTTGAACTGTGTAAAGCAATCCAAAATACATCCAAAATATAAATATAAGATAAGTCTTTAAAAAGTATATATAAATAAGTATCAAAAAAGACACTCCTCAAATACAGTTAGTTAGAATCAGAACTCCACTTTGATTACAGTGTATAGTAATTGTAACCCCGTTGAAATATTCGGGTTGAGATCATACCTCGATATATAGTAGAGATCGATAACGGCTTGATAGATGGCCAATGTGTCCCTGTGTGGCAATTAGAGCCTCCTGGGTAATAGCTACGCCATTGTCCCTGTGTGGCATTTAGAGCACTGTAGTAGTAGCTGGATTTTGATTGCCACAGTTTCAGACACATACAAGTGCTGAGCCCTCCTCCCTCCCTCCCTTCCTCCCCTCCCTGGAAAAATTACTGTATACGTTCCTGCATCTATTATTTATTTATCCATTCTATATATCCACCTATCTACCGATATAATTGTTTCTTTCGATATATCAATCTGTAGATTATTATCTTTGTTTTAAAACCATCAGTTAGTAATATAGTGCAGTAGAGGGTGGGAAGGGGGTAATTTGTTCCAGGAGGGAGAAGGGAGGGGATATTTGTTCCAGGATGGAGGGAGGCATATTTGTTCCAGCAGGGAGAAGGGAGGGGATATTTGTTTCAAGAGGGAGGGGAGGGGGCCGACGGTGGGGGGAGTCTATCTATCATAGAAAACTATGCTTAAGGGCGGGAAATCTATTATATTTTTGTAATTAATCATCCATCCTGAGAATTATCTATATTTCTAATTTCATCTATCCAACCTTCCATCTCTCTATCCAACCTTCCATCTCTCTATCCATCCTTCCATCTCTCTATCCATCCTTCCATCTCGCTATCCTTCCATCTCTCTATCCATCCTTCATCTCTCTATCCATCCTTCCATCTCTCTATCCATCCTTCCTTCTCTCTATCTATCCTTCCATCTCTCTTTCCATCCTTCCATCTCTCTATCCATCCTTCCATCTCTCTATCCATCCATCTATTCTGTTGTCACTTTCTAATTAACACGTCAGGATTGGCACTTCGTTCAAGTTTTAATTTCGAGTTTTGAAGGTTCTGACAGTTAGTTAGTTAGTTAGCTTTGGTTTAATTTGGTCATTTTAAAGTTTTGATGGTTATTATTAACCACTAATTTAGTTGAAAAAAAAACAACTTGGATTTCGGAGGTTTAAAAAAGATATTTTTTCTTTGCCATTTCTTCATTAAGTTCTCATGATACTGATTAAACCAAGGATTAAATACAAGAAAACTCCATATTTTTATTTTTAAAAGTTTATAGAGTTCTCCCAGCAACTGCAGTAAACAAACGTAATCAACTTATGTTTAAATTAAATGTTTTCAGGTTTGGACTATTTAAAAGCATTTGATAAAATGAAAAAAAAATATGGAAAATCTTCGTAACACAGAATTTGATTTAATCCTTTTTTAATCATTCCCATATCCACCAAAAATGTCTCTTTTGCAGCTCAACCGGGCAATACTCTTTTTTAATGAACAAAGGAATTGAGTCTTTGCCACAAACTCTGATTTTCTAATCCCTATCGCAACCTGATTTCTTAGACCTTAGCAACTTTTTATTCCGTTTTATCATGAATTAGAGGATTCTCCTTAATTTTATGTGAATATTTCCTTATTTTTTCGTGAACGCTCCCTTAATTAGGCGATGTCTTTTATAATTTCATGATAAATCACTATGAACTGGATTGACGGAGAAGGTTAAGTTTAAGTGGCATTACTGATCCAACTTTGCGACCTCTTAGCTCTAATAGTTTTGATTTCTTAGTATGAGAAAACCAAATATATCTGATCACATTTCAGAAACTGAAAACAAATTTCTTCTTCTCAATAGGCCTTTCATTATATCATTGAAAACAATTTACTTTAGATTATCGTGAACTGATCGTTAGATTACCGTGAGCTGATCGTTAGATTACCGTGAGTTAATCGTTAGATTACCGTGAGCTGATCGTTAGATTGCCGTGAGCTGATTGTTAATATTATTTTAGGCTGACCGTTGAAGAACATTTATGGTTCTTTGCTAGAATTAAAAACCAACCCAAGGTTAGCAATCAGAAATATTTAATCTAAGATTTTAAAAATCTAAATTTTTTTATTTATTTAGGAGGGTTTAAACGACCAGATAACACAGATGATCAACGATTTGGGGATTCCTCATAAACGGTAGGATTCAAGGATTATACAGATTTTTTAACTGCATTTTTAAAATTTTCTTTTTTACATTGCATATACTGTAAAATAGGCTTTCCTACTTACAAAGTAGGAATTTAGGTTTGCGATGTGTGTCTATCTATTGATCTATCTATAGTCTAGACACGTTACGAATACAGATTTATCCATTTAGCCAGGCAGGCTGTGAGTAAAGATCGCAAGCACCACTGACCCTTCAGTAAAAGTAAATTCAACCTAAAGTCTGACCGCGTCAACCTTGTTGTACCGGCTAGTCCTATTGAGTGACTGCTTTATTTACCCAATGAGAAAGCAATACAGTACAAACTGGGACCGGAAAAGTTGACCCAGCTCTGAAATTCAAATGTACTATGGCTGCCCGTGATCTATCTGGTGGAATGCAGATAAAGCTAAGTATAGCCTGCTATGAGTATATTTCTCTCTATCTAGGCATGCCCTGAGTAAGGATCTATCTGGTAGAATGCAGAGGAAGCTAAGTATAGCCTGCTAAATATATCTATCTATCTAGGCATGCTCTGAGTAAAGATCTATCTGGTGGAATGCAGAGGAAGCGAAGTATAGCCTGCTATGAGTATATATCTATCTATCTAGGCATGCTCTGAGTAAAGATCTATCTGGTGGAATGCAGAGGAAGCTAAGTATAGCCTGCGCTTTTGTTGGAGGATCTAAGTAAGTTCAACCACTGCTAAAAAATAATTTTAAAAGATTTAAGTTTTGACGCAAAAATAATGTACAAAATTTTAATTTTTCCTAAAGAAATTGAGTCTTTGCCACAAACTATAATATTCTGAAGATACAAAGTGTAAAATATCAACGTTTTACACCGTCAGGTTGCAAAGATATAGAGATTGGAAAATTTGATTTAGTGGCAAAGACTCAATTTCTTTAGCCTTAACAAGTTTAGGCCATTACATAAAACAAATATACCGACTAGGTTTGTTGGGAAATTGGCACTTTGGACGTTGCCCAAGGGAAAATGCCTTATGAAAAATTCCGTAAAAACACCGTAAAATTTATGTATCAGAGCTAAATTTTTAATCGAAATATCATTATTATTATTATTATTATTATTATTAAAGGGTTGTTGTACTTGATGAGCCTACAGCTGGAGTGGATCCATACTCTAGGAGAGCAATCTGGGACCTCCTCATCAAATACAAGGTTCAAGTTTTTGGTTTCTTTCTTGTTTTCTTGTACCTCTCCTATTGTTCTTGTTCTTGTACCTCTCCTATTGTTCTTTTTCTTGTTCTTGTACCTCTCCTATTGTTCTTGTTCTTGTTCTTGTACCTCTCCTACTCTCCTATTGTTCTTATTCTTGTTTTCTTGTACCTCTCCGATTGTCCTTGTTCTTGTACCTCTACTATTGTTCTTGTTCTTGTTCTTGTACCTCTCCTATTGTTCTTGTTCTTGTTCTTGTACCTCTCCTATTGTTCTTGTTCTTGTTCTTAAACCTCTTCTATTATTCTTGTTCTTATTCTTGTCCAAATGCTAAAATTTACTTTATTTAGGGGAATAGAACTATTATCCTTACAACACATTTCATGGATGAGGCCGATCTTCTGGGTGACAGGTAGAACGATCATCAATCATAGATCAACAATTTCAGAAAACTTGGACGAACCATTCAACCAGCCCTCCTTCTATCAAACCATCCAACCAGCTATCCTTCTATCAAACCATCCAACCAACCAACTGTACTTCTATTAAATCATCCAACCAACCCCATTTTCCTACTATCAATCCATTCAACCAACCAGCTATCCTTCTTTCAAACCATCCAACCAACCAACTATCCTTCTATCAAACCATCCAACCAACCAACTATCATTCTATCTAACCATTCAACCAGCAAACTATCCTACTATCAAACCATCTAACTATCAAACCATTCAAACAACCAACTATCATTCTATCAAACCATCTAACCAACTATCTCTCCTACTTTCCAACCATCCAACCAACCAACTATCCTCCTAATAAACGATCCAACCAATCACCTTTAATACCATCAAACCATCCAACCAAACAACATTAATACCATTAAACCATCCAACCAACCTACTTTAACACTATTAAACCATCCAACCAACCAACTATCCTATTATTAAACCATCCAACCAACCAACTTTAATTCTATCAAACCATCCAACCAACCAACTATCCTACTATAAAAACATCCAACCAACCAATTTTATTACTATCAAACCATCTAAACAACCAACTTTGATAGAATCAAACTTTCCAACCAAATATCTTCCTATCAAACCATCTAACGAACCAACTATCCTACTTTCCAACCATCCAACCAACCAACTATCCTTCTATCAAACCATCCAACCAACCAACTTTAATACTATCAAACCATCCAGCCAACCAACAATCCTTCTTTCCAACCATCCGTTCATATTCCAACCATCCTATAAACCATCCATTCAACCAACCAAGCCTACTAATGTTTAGGATTGCAATAATAAACTGCGGAAAGCTTGTCTGTTCTGGTTCATCCCTGTTCTTAAAATCCCTTTATGGTGTAGGGTATTATCTTACCCTGGTTAAAGCGGGGGCTACGGTAAGTCAATCTTTCTATCTTTTGTATATTTTTGGAATTTTTTTTTTAAAAATTAACTTTTTTTAATATTTCTCATTTCTTCTAACTTCTTCTAAACAGAGCTAAAGTTTCTTAGTGGTTAGTTTCCTTTGAGAGGATTTTCCACTCATATTTTACATTTTTCTATCAAAACGATATTTAATACGCATATTGATTACATATTGAATTATTAACATTGAATAGAGTAAATATAATAATAATATTTCCTCAGTCAACCTTTCTTTACAAATATTCCTTGGATATTTTAAAATATTAGACTTTCAGTTTGGTGTATTCGTGCATCATTAAAGATAGTAATAGATTTTAAACTTGTTTATCATTCCCCTAGCTCCTCCTTTTTTGTTAAGAGAGGGGGGGGGGGGGCGGAGGGCAGAAATTTACGAAAAAAACAACTAATTTTTCATTCTTTTTAGAAAGGTTATATTTTAGCAGCAAAAATTTGACACGGTTTTTGATGGTTTAACATTATTTTTATGCCCAATCCCTTCTGTTTAGTTGAACAATCACTTTAACCCCCAAACCCTTCTGTTTTGTGGAACTATCCTTTCAACCCCCTACTCTTCTGTTCTGTTAAACAATCACTTTAACCCCAAAACCCTTCTGTTTTGTTGAACAATCACTTTAACCCCAAAACCCTTCTGTTTTGTTGAACAATCTCATTAACTTTCAAACCCTTCTGTTTTGTTTAATAATCTCATTAACCTCCAAACCCTTCTGTTTTGTTGAACATTCTCATTAACGTCCAAACCCTCCTGTTTTGTTGAACAATCTCATTAACCTCCAAACCCTTCTGTTTTGTTTAATAATCTCTAATATTTAGGAGAATACAGGGAAAGATCAGTTTATAGATATTATGAAAGTGCGAACTGCAGGCTCTAGTGCAAACACAAGCAGGTTAATATTAACATTTAAATTTTTTTATTTTATTATTTTCTTTTTAACTTTTTTAGTTGCCGTCATTTAATCAGGAACGTTGTTACTTGTTATGCTGAACGATAAAAATAGAATTTTTTTCAATTTTGAATTTGATATTTATCGTACGCTATTAGAGTCTAGAAATTGTAACCCCTAAATAAATGTATGTATGATATAATATTTTGATTTTTTTTCTTCTGAAATCAGATATAAATCAATTATTTATAGATAAAATTAGCGGCGCAGTTAAGGATTTCATTGGATTCAACTGTCAAAGTATAAAATGTAGTGTTATCTCTTTTTTGAAATGTAATATTGTATAATAGAATTGATCTACGAATTGTAACCCTCGACCATATCTGGAAATAGATAATTAGGATGAATTTGGTTCTAACATTGTTATTCTCTTGGCAAAGTTCTATGCTCCATGTCTAATCTAGAAATATAAATCTGTATATAAGATCTCCATCCAGTCTACTTACCCTCCTAATCACACCGTCTCAAGTACCCCCTCCTTTTCAATTACCATAAACATCCAACCCACATTCGTATTAATCGCTTCCCTACCATTCATGTAACCATCCCGCCCCCATTCGTATTAATCGCTTCCCTACCATTCAATTATTATTGAGTAAGGTTAATCAGATAATCAAGATAATCTAATCTATTACGAGAATAATTAATATATACAAGTACAATAGGAGAGATCACGAAATTAACTTTAATTTTGCAACTTGCAAGGTATCTATATATTTGATGCCTTACTTCTAAAATAGATTTTTTGTTTAAACTACTGTTTACACAATATTCTTTTAAACAAATTTTATGTATTTTTTCTTTTTTTATGAATTGATTTAAAGAAATAGAAAAAATAAAACTTCTAAAGAGTTTACTCTTTCCTTTCATCCTTTTGTTAAAAAGAAACGAACTACATTTTTCTTGGACAGTTTTATACTGCAGTGAGTCCAAAGGAGGGGGGGGGGGTACTTTACATAACATCAGAGAGGCCGAATTTAAAGAATTTAAACCGCGTTGATCACTTAAATCTCGAAACACTTAATAGTAATACAATCTCAAGTGGAACCAAAACCATGTTTGAACCGCGTCTCATATTTGAGCCGCGGCTCAAAGTCTTTGAAATCGGCCTCAGGCTTGTTACTTATGAAGCCACAGAATTTAAATAAAGCCTTTAAACTAATCTTATTCCAAACTTCTTCACCTCTAGTTTTGTTATAAAAATATTTATTATTTATCATTTAAAGTGTTTTAATAATTTTTTTTTACTGCAAGATATATTTGATATTCTTTAAGTATAGATGGTAAATGAGTTAATCTATTTATTAATGGATGAATAAAAAAATTAATGAAAGAAAGGATGAATACATAAAAGGATGGATGGAAAGATGGAAGGATAGGTGAATAAATACATGAATGAATAAATGAATGAATGCATAGGGATGATGATGATGGTATAGAGGATATAGATGATGATGAAGGAATATCTGATGTATCAACTAAGGACACAATTATCAATCCCTCCAGTGGAAACTCAAAGTAAGACTGTGAAGACACTTTTAAGGGCATTTTTTTAAATTTTGCAACCCCAAATATTTGACACCCTTTATCCTCAGATATCTCTGATATTATCCTGAGACCGTTGATATTTCAAATTACTCTTTATTCAAAGGTTTGTGAATACGGCATGTTCCATTAAATGAAAACCTCTCAAAAATACACTTACATTCCTGCAAGAGCTTAAACCATCCATACACTCATTACATATATTTAAATAATAATACTTATTTACATAGGTATCCCACCTACCCTCTCACCAAGTTTATACAACGGTTTGTACCGAATGCCGCGCTAGTTGAGGAAATAGGACAAGAAATCGTCTTCGTTCTGCCAGGTAAATAATCTTGCTTTAAGATCTTGCTTTATTAACTCATTTACAAAACAAAACGTTATCTTTTTTTATATCCTATTATAAACACAAATATTGCTCTTAAATATTATCAAAAATATTTTTATTAAAATCATCATTTTATTCTTTACATAAATTTGTATGCATTGTTTTTGTTAATTTTATTGCAATGACTATATTTTGCTCAGTTGAAGAGACTAAAGAGATAAGTATGAAACAGTTTGAACTTCTGTTTAACGAACTGGATTTATTTATGAACAAAATGAACATCTCTTCATATGGACTCTCCGACACAACCCTAGAAGAGGTTAGTTGGAAGAAAGAAATTATTTAAAGGAACTGTAACGAAAACAATGAAAGCCCGTATAGGATGAAGCCTGAGATTCTCAGGAGTAGAACGATACATATAAGACATCTCTCTGATGTTCCTGTCTCGAGAAATTGATATAAAACTGTAACAGATTTATATGAAAATTCATTTGTATAAAAGTTTAGATATTTCTAAAAGTAGCAAGTAATAATAATATTATGTTTAGATATTTCTAAAAGTAGCAAGTAATGAGAATATTATGTTTCTATATTTCTAAAAGTAGCAAGTAATGATAATATTAAGTTTAGATATTTCTAAAAGTAGCAAGTAATGATAATATCATGTTTATATATTTCTAAAAGTAGCATGTAATAATAATATTATGTTTAGATATTTCTAAAAGTAGCAAGTAATGATAATATTATGTTTAGATATTTCTAAAAGCAAGTAATGATAATATTATGTTTATATATTTCTAAAAGTAGCATGTAATAATAATATTATGTTTAGATATTTCTAAAAGTAGCAAGTAATGAGAATATTATGTTTATATATTTCTAAAAGTAGCAAGTAATGAGAATATTATGTTTAGATATTTCTAAAAGTAGCAAGTAATAATAATATTATGTTTAGATATTTCTAAAAGTAGCAAGTAATGAGAATGATGGAGAAATAGTTCGAGGAAATACTTCTGCAATCGCAAATAAACTTAGAAGAAGGTGATTATCATATCATTATTATATAAATTTCATTTCAAAATTTCGTTAAAAATTTAATTTAAAATATTAAATGCGAAATAAGGATCGAATTTAATGCACAAAATCATTTTTAACATTATATATTTGATCATTATAATGTAAAAATTTTATATTTTAAATTTTGATATTTTTGATCTGGTAAAATTCAAAGATTGAAATATCAAAGGTTCACACCATCAGCTTGCAATGAAATAAGGTTAAAGACGGGGATTAATCAGTGTTTGTGATTTTTATTTTTTATCTGAATTTGTTTCTTGCTGTAGGTCTCTACTGAGCTCCAGTGTGGTAAAGAACATAGGAACTGCATTTACCCCTGAAAAAGTCGAATCAGGTCAATTAATGTTTTTATCATCTCAAGGTAGCCAACTTCTTAAAATATCAATATTTTTAAATCACAAAGAAAAACATTTTATTTTGTTATCTTCAGTTTGCTCCAAATGCATTTTTTATCTGAAGGAAATGATTCAGAACTGATTTGTATAATCAGAATATTTTCTTTAAACTACTGAACGAACCCTTCAATAGGACTTTCCTTGTGAATTTCAAGGAATATTCCATTTAAAGGAATATTCCATTTTAAGGAATATTCCATTTAAAGGAATATTCCATTTTAAGGAATATTCCATTTAAAGGAATATTCCATTTTAAGGAATATTCCATTTAAAGGAATATTCCATTTTAAGGAATATTCCATTTAAAGGAATATTCCATTTTAAGTAAGGCCTGCCCAACCCACAACAGTACCTGCTTTAATCCTTTATCTAACTTAGAAATGCACAAATCACTTTGTAGATAAACATCAATAAAAAAGTATTCAATTTTTACAGAGAAGATGATGGATATATCATGCATTCTAGTTCAGACAAATATTTCAAGGGTACCGTTGTGAATCGGACATTTACTTGCAATTACGTGTACAGTTCCTTTAAATAAGTAAACTATCTAGGATCCCGCAAAGTTAAAGTTATGCCTGGAGAATCTACTGCATGTAAGCTATACTCACAATAAGTCATGTTTTTAGATAGTAGGGTTTTTAGAAAGGAATTCAGTCTTCTTTGCCTCAAACTCTGATCTTCTAATCACTATAACTCTGGAACCAAATGTTGCAGATCTTAGAAATTTCAAACTATGAATTCTGTTAGATCAAATAATCTGAGTTTGAAATATCAAAGGTTTAAAACATCGGGTTCTAAAGATATTAAGGTTGAAATATTTGATTTTGTTCCAAATACTCAATTCCTTTATACAGGAAATAAATATTAATATCTTTTCTTTAACAATACGCAAACCATTTAATATGTACACATTTAGAGCCTGTATAAGAATTATTATGACATGGGTTGGGTATAAAACAATACATTGTACACAACACCTATTTCATGTCACTGACATACATTTTCATTGTAATTTTATTGTACTTTTTCTTACAACTGAAGTTACAATATTGAAAAAAGTATGTTTGTTCTAAGTTAAAAATATAAATGCTGCTTGCAATAACAAAGTGCAGATTTTAATATTTATTTCTGAATGAAGTTTAAATAGTTTAAATAGTTTAGTCCCTGTTTTGACTTATGCATAGCACTTAGATAAAGTATATAGATGCCTGATTTTATTAATCTATTGATTTAGTTTGGAAGATTTTATTTATTCGAAATTTTTAACGTTTCTTTTATCTAATTCGGCATTATATTATTTTGATTTTACTTCACAAATACTGGTGGTGTGAAACTAATTAAAAGTTATTATAAAATATAAAAACATGTATTTTTATTTTAAATGATAAAAACGGTCAGATAATATAAATCTAGCTTTGATCCTTCATGAAAGAATGTTCCTTGTTAAAAGTTGATAAAATCATTTTCAATTCTTCATTTTTACAAATTTGTCTTAATTAAAAGTCATGTACAAATAATTTTATCATTTATCAACTTTTGTTTACCATTTTTAATTGCCAACACTTTTTCATGCAGACCTTGTCGAAAATTTTTGAAAATAAAATCATATGACTTATTAACATTTTTTTAAAGGTTTAAGATAATCTAAAATCTCATTGTTTTAACAAGATGTGAGGTAGATTTAACCTTTTCCATGAATTTAAATTTAAATTTTGAAAGATTTTAGTAGAGTTTGAAACATACTCCCCCTTTATCATATCCATCCTGCTTTAACTAAACCTTTCGAGACATTTAAGTCCAATCAAAGTTTTCTTGTAATCTTTTAGTTTTGAATTAAACTTTAAACAAAACGTTCTCCAAAATCATTTTAAATTTTTTCCTAAAAAAAACTAATTTTTTCTTAAAAAATTTATTTTAAATTAGTGAACATATGCCTGTAGGATTAAAACAAATATTTGATATAAATACCACATTTTAAAAGCATCTTGAAATTATTTTATTCATCTTTTTGCATTTCCTGCAGTTGCATTTAAACTATTCTTCTTCTAGATCCATCTAGTCCCTTGGGAGCTAAACAAGGTAGATACAGGGTGTATCATTAAACTTGACTGTTCAGAGACAACTTAAAGATCTACAGGGTGTCTCTCTAAACATGACCGTTGAGAGACTACTTAAATATCTACAGGGTGAACCACTAAATATGATAGTCGACAGAACACTAAAGATATACAGGGTGGCTTATGTTAAATTTTACTAAAGATCGTCTTTTATCTTTCAAAAACATCATTTTCGTTTAAATTTAAACATTTCATAAAAAAAAATTGTTTAAACCAATAAATTTAAAAATGGCTGTAGACTTAATTTCAAGCAATCCTCAATTTGAAGAATGACAAGTCCTTTAAGTACTTTGTCTCATCAAGGTTTTTTTTCTTACACCTAATTATTTTCACTTGCCATTTTTTTTAAATGTGTCTTGCGGATCTTTGCCATCATAGACAATGGAGAAATTGTCAGAATTAAACACTTTTAAGGCTATAAAGAGAATAATATCTTTCAAAAAAGGTTTCAAGGGTACCGTTGTAAATTGGACATGCCCTTTAGATTTTTTTAAAATAGATGGCCACATGAAGTTACGCCTATTCAGCTAGTCCCTTTAAGTTACCAAGAAAGCTTACAAAGTCGTGAATTCTTTTCTGTAACACCCTTTATTATATAACTATTACTGTTGTCTCATGTTTATTGAGACACCCTGTAAATAGATACTGATATATCATATGTATCCCCATATATACCCACTGCACGAGTATAATGTGAATGCACAAAAGTGCATTTCAGGATTTTGTGTGATATGGTGCGTACACAGGGTTTATCTCGGTTAGAAAAAATTGAAAACAATAATAACTCAGAAATATAGGAAAATGGATAAACAAGGAAACTTAAGGAAAAGTTTGAATCAAATTTTACTGAAGTTTTCTTTGATCTATTCAAAAAAAGATTTCACAGTTTAATTTCTGATATTTATATTTTATTTAAAATGCATTTAGAAGTGATTTTTTATGAAATTTGACCTTAAAACTCTTTATTATTTGATTCATATTTAAAGACAGATTAAAAGAGTGTTTGTTTGTTTGTTCGATTTTCTACTGCATGTTTGCATGATGGATGCTTTTATACCGTTTTCTAAACAATGAGAATTCATCTTTACGATGATTATTAAATTAAACAGATTGTTAGTGACTTTTAAAAGAAGTCGTCGTCACAAAAATATGGGACCCACCATTTAAAAAAAGGGGCATTCAATTAATTAATGTTTCTGGCGCAAGAAATAAGTTTTAAAAATCTGTTAAGAGTACCGTTGTGAATCAGAAATGCCACTCTATTATTGGATTGTCACTTGAATGTGTATACGTTGACCCATGTTTAACAGTTAGAGAGATGTCACATGAATTGAAATATTAATAAATTATACCGTTTAACGCAGGATATGTTCTTAGTTAGACGATTTTGGAATACAAAACTTTAATGAGAATATTTTTTCTGAATGTTGTGTTGTATTTTTTCTAAAGTGTAAAACCTTTGTGTGTTTTACTGAATGCTTTCTGACACTAAATTGATGTGAAAGATAATTTTTATTTTGGATGGATCACAGCCTTTACAGCCTTTGCACACTTTATACAGAACAACATGCAATTTTTTAAACCCACAGTGATCCCCGGATACAGAGATTATACAGATCGGACAACAAAAATTGTAGTATATACAGATAGCACAAGAAATATTAAGTTACTGAAATCATGATGTTCAATCTAGGACAGTGTACATATTTGGGGGTTGAAAAACTAATATGGCATATTTTGTAATGTCCTATCTGTATAATAATAATAAGGTTAAAAGCTTTGTTGCCAACTCCTTAAATTATTTTGCACCATTTTGAAAATGGCGAAATGTAAGTTCAGAATATTTCCTATCCAGCAACATGGCCAAAGGAATTGAGTTTTTGCCACAAACTCTGATTTTACAGTCACTATATCTTTGGAACCAAATGTTGCAGACCTTAGATATTTCAAAGTATGAATTTTGTTAGATCAAATAATCTGAGTTTGAAATATCAAAGGTTTACAATATCGGGTTCTAAAGATATTGAGGTTTAAATATTTGATTTTGTTCCAAAGACTCAATTCCTTTGACACAACAATGGGTGTTGGACGCATGGTAATCAAATTATGAATAAATCAGAACTTTTTATTCCTATTCAATGTTTCCGTGAAGAGAATTATAAATAAATAATTCTCCACAGACCTTCACCATGCAGTGAAACTTGATCTAAAGGTTGCAAGCAAGGTTGCAAGTCTATGAGAATTTTGCCAATTCCTTTCATTATCTAAACATAAAAACATAAGCTTTTTAATGCACACTTGTCCAGGGCTACAATAAAGTATAAATGAGTTTTTGAGATAAAACCAAAGGCTAAGGTGTTGTGACACTTCAAAGTCAATTCAGTCTTAAAAATGGATGCAACTTTTCAGAGGTTGCACGGTAAACATATTTTAAAGTAAAAAGATCATTTTTAACACCCACTTTACAGAAACATTTGCTGGAAATAAAATAAAACAATTCTATTCATAAATTAATTATTATTCATCCTCTAGGCAGGCTGTATCCACTTTCTGTTTTCGCGAACACTCCCCTTAATAAAACATTTTAAATTTTAGACTCTGAGGTTCAAATTGGAGACTCCGAGAGTCATGTTTTAACTTCACACAAGAATCCGAGTGAATTGCAAATTGTTAAAACAGGTATTTTTTACATTTTTTGCTATATTTTGCTAGGTTTTGCTAGATTTTGCTAGGTTTTGCTAGGTTTTGCTAGGTTTTGCTAGGTTTTGCTAGGTTTTGCTAGATTTTGCTAGGTTTTGCTAGATTTTGCTAGATTTTGCTAGATTTTGCTAGGTTTTGCTAGGTTTTGCTAGGTTTTGCTAGGTTTTGCTAGGTTTTACTAGGTTTGCTAGGTTGTCGTCAAGGAGTATGAAATAGAAGGGAGAAACAACTGACGTGGCCTGCCCTACAATATGATTTTACAATATACATGCTTTGCAGACGGTACTCCATTTGTATAAGAAATACACAGTATAGGTTATTGTATACGTGGTAATTGTACATCAGACAAATATTTCTTATTCAAATGAAGTACCGTCTGCAAAGCATGTATAATCATATGATAGGGCGGGCCGAGTCAGTTCTATTTCATACTCCTTGATTGTCGTAAATTGAAATCTGTTCATTCTAAATATTAACTTTAGAACAAAATCAAATGCAAAAAGAAGTTGTTTTTATAATAAATGATTAATGTTTGATTTGAAAATTAAAGACATACTTATATTAAGACTTTTGCATAAAAGGTTATTCAGACATCGTTTTGGCGAAATCTTATTTTTAAACAATTATTAATTTTTATCGTTTCCTAACTAACGGTAAAGCGCATTGCATTTTTTTTTGCAAAATCTAAAACTTGAAGGCTTTTCTTACTTGCATTTTTTTACAGAATATGTCATCTGAAGACAGATAAGTTTTATTTAAGAAATAAGAAACCTTTTAAACACCCTGACCCAGCACTAAAGTATACATTAACAACACACATATTTGTTTAAGTCGAATTACTATATTTTTAGAATTGGCAAAAAATAATTACATATATGTATGTTTCATATATAATATACATATATATATGTTACATATATAATATACATATTTAATATACATAAATGTATGGTACTTATATAATATACATATATGTATGGTACATATATAATATCCATATATGTATGGTACATATATAATATACATATATGTATGGTACATATATAATATACATATATGTATGGTACATATATAATATACATATATGTATGGTACTTATATAATATACATATATGTATGGTACATATATAATATACATATGAATAAAATGTTATAAGAAGATTGTTGCGTTTTAACTGATATAACATACATATATTTATGTATGTTACAATTTTACTTTAGAAAGGGCCTTTAAACCCTTATTTGATATCGAGATTTTTCCAGTTTGAAATGTTATTTATTCTGACAATTTACTTCATTTGTTCTGTAGCGTAAATCCGCAAATAAAACCACAATTGAAACATTTTTAAAATTTAAAACATTATTGATATTATCACTTATTCTTGACATCATTTAAAGGTACACTTGTGAATCATTTCTATTACGTCCAACTGAAGCCTTTTCATGAATATCTTGTGACTAGACTCATTTGGAATGAGAGGACCAATCCCTTAGATGTAAATTTAAAGTTTTATTTCTGTCGAAATGCCAAATTTAATTAAAAAGTTTGAAACTGATATTAACGTTTATTTAATTTATCATTTTAAGTTCAGGATTTATAAAGAGTTGTTGTCTGTCTGTTGTTATGTAATTAACCGTGGTAACGGCTGAACCAATTTTGTGTGTGACCTGAAATGGCCCCGGTTATGGTTTATGAACAGTGGGGACATATCACCTTAAAAAAAATTCAAAGAAAAACTTAATTCATGAAAGCATATTAAAGAACCAAATTATTATCAAATTAAAATATCCTCAAAAAATGAGGAAACGGCTGAACCCGCGGCAAATGGATTCGATGCACTTCGAAAATTTTAAAAAGTTAAATCTCTTGTTTTTGTTTAGGAAAGCCGCTTGTTCTCAAGCATATCATGGCACTGGAGATAAAACGGTTTCATCACTCCAAACGGAACAAAAAAGGGTTTATGTGTGAGGTAGGTCTTGAGCATCAGGTGGAAAAAGGCTAATATTTTGATATATTAAAAATGTGCTAATCTGAAATTTAAACAAATACAATATGTATCTAGTTTTAGCAGGTACATATTTCACAAGCATGGCTATATTTATGATAATTGAGGTCAAAACGAAATAAAACATTTGATACATATATTTAAAAAAATATTTTTTCCAGGGTTAAACACACATTTTTAGAATTTAAAAAAAAACTTTTAAAAATGCGAAAAATTTAAATCTTAAATTCTAATGAAGCCTCTAAAAAGTTAACAAGCCTTGAATAAAAAAGCCGAAATTTTGAGGTTTGAGCACTACAATTAGCATGTTTTTGTAATTACAAGAAGAATGCAGTGTGTTCTACAAATTATGAACCGATTTATGCGGCAGCTTGAATTTTTGTTTTGAAAACTGAAAAGAAATGTTAATTTAACTATAAAACGTTATTTTTGTAGATCCTGCTTCCTGCGGCGTTTGTTTGCCTGGCCATGGGGTTCACAATGATACTTCCGCCACTAGTCGAGGAACCGGAAATGGAAATGTCCCCTTGGCTATATCCGGGAAAGGTAAGCTTAATCATCAATTTTTTGAAATTCAAAAATAATTTTCAAAATCAGAAATATCTTTTGTTACACCTAAATTCTATTTTTAAGTAAGTTTATTTATAGGTCTTAATTATTGAGTAGTAAAGTAACATTTTTGATTGAAAGCATGCAAATCTTAAGTAAAGTGATCTATTACTATGTTGGGTAAACTTATCAAAGGTCTATATTTAGAGTATCTTTGGGTAAACTGAACTATTAATAATATATATTATATATAATAAATATATGTATATAACTAGGGTGGACCGAATTATATATATTACTCGAACTCCCTTCCTGGTTACCCGACTGACTGGCCGAACAGATATACTGATGCTCTTCTCTCCTCTGATAGTGCTGGAACTAAATGTGTTGGTCCAAATAAAAACAAGGTAAAGGCCGACTGTTCACACACCTCTGATCCTTCAATAAAAGTAAATTCAACCTGAAGTCAACCGTGTTGCATTGGCTAGTCCTATTGAGTCTCTTGCTTTATTTACCCAATGACCGGGCAAAACAGTACAAACTGGGACCGGAAAAGTTGACCCGGCTCGGAAATTCAAATGTACTACGGCTGCCCGTGAGTTTGCGCAGTTCAAAGTGAGCCTACAAAATATAAATGGTCAAAGCCAATAAATACTAGATCACTCCTGTATGCCAAGTTCATTAGCGCCTGATCCAATCAGGGTTCAGTCATGTGTTTGTTGTCTATTCTGAACCAATAGAAATAGTTTGGCGGTAAAATCTATCTTTCTATCTATCTCATTATCCAATCAGAGTTATGAATCCTTCAATCGGCGCTAACAGTAAATGGAAATATTTACTTCTACTGAAACTATGGTGAGATAAGGGGTGTCGAACCTTAATACATTGTTAACCTATTTAGGCTGCAATCGAAGGAATAAATTGTGGATAAAAATCAGAAAAGTCCAAAAAGTAAAGAATCGGAGCTAAATTTAAAGGTTTAATGCTTATCAAAACAGATAAAGAATATTGGATGAAATAATAACTCTAAAAAATAAGAGAGTTGAGTAAAATATAACTGGTAAATAGTATCGAAAGAATAATGAGTTAGATACAATTAAAACTAGAACAGGGTGTCAAAGGAAAAAGTTTAAAAAATTTTAAAATGTTTAACCCTATCCCTGCTGGGGTACTTGAAAATCAGGATACGCTGGGGGGGGTCAATTTGTTTTATGTCCTTATATGACAAATGATACATCATTAGAAATGTTAGGTCTAAAATAATCTATATTCTTTATATATTTATAGTGTGATAGCTCTACCCTACAATACAAGAATCTTCTGCTTAAATATTCATCAAATATTACAACAGGAAAGTTTTACCAAGATTAAAAATTATCACACAAATTATGAAAGAATATTTATTTGAGTAATAATTTCTTGAAATATCACAGTTTTGAAGAAAATATTACCAAGGTATGATTCATAAACTTTTAACACTGCAGCGGAATGTTATGATAATTCATTTACCCCTTGGGATAATTAAATTACTAACTTGGCTAAAAACTACTTTACCCGGTGTCCTAGAACTTACATGTGAAGATTTTAGAAGTAAATTATTATTATTAATTAATTAATTAATTATTATTATCTTTTAATAATTGTTTAATTCTACTTTACAGGGATGTTAAGGGAATTTCACTTTACCAACGGTTTACATAACTTTCCCAAGGGACGTTAAGTAACTTAACCTCCCTCTGTTGGGAATCACAGGTCGGTAATGTTGGTTAAAAGAGGGTAAAAAGTATTTTAAAAATGGTTGAACTTCTCCAGATGATTCCAAAAACCCACCATGTACCTGCTCGATTGGGACACAGATTTGTCCAGAGGGGGCAACAGGCCCCTCGCCCCCTTCTATTAAGGTAAGTGCCACCCCCCCTCCTTTTTCTCCATTAATCAAGACTTAGTTTGTTTACATTTTGTGTGGGATATATGTAAACATAAATCTGAGACCACCTGTAAACATATTGTATAATCGAACTTGAATAATATTTTAATCAAAATTAAAATTAAACCTCAAAATGAGAAGGAATTATTATGGTTTTGCATAAATTTGGACAAGTTTTTTTGCAATTTGAATATGCTTACAAGTTACAAGTGTTTAATTGTTTCCAAATAGATTGTGTGCATCTTATTGTGTATAGTAAAGTATACGAACATTATAGACTAATTAAGATAACAGATAGGACACTAGAATTACGAGATAGAGAGATAGCCTGTTCTGCACCGATTACAGCTTCTACCTCAGGGTTATTGTAAACGAAATACTTATAAATCTTGAAGATAGAACATCTAGTGTCCTATCTGTTATTTTAATTAATCTATATGAAGGAGAATAGAGTATGTGTACATTAAAATGTGACGTATTAAAACTGCTCAATAACTGGAATATAAATAAATTTAAAAAGTGTATACACTTATCTAACCAGAAAATTCCAACATCTGTTTTTAATCTTTATTTTTGTTTTAAATAAACTAGTTCTTTGCGGTCCTAATACATCACAATCAAATGTGCGCACAAACTCTATCTCTCACATCAGGAGTATACATACCTTGGTACACTACACTTTTTAATTTTCGAATAGATTTTTAGAAACTGTTTTTAACAGTATTTCAAAAACAAGCATATTCAGTTAATAATGAATGAGTTTCTTGTCAGACATAAACTAATTTTAAATTTGATATTTCTCTGACACAATCTTTCATCTAAATGGATGACTTGAGAGAATCCTTTGCTTAAAGAATACGTAATGAGCATTAATCTACCGTACATAGTACAGTATATAGTGTACAATGTGTAGAGCATTGTACAATTTAATGTATGCTGTACCTACTTACCTACCTACCTACCTACCTACCTACCTACCTACCTACCTACCTACCTACCTACCTACCTACCTACCTACCTACCTACCTAGATCCCTACTGGTGATATACTGATCAACATGACCTCCCGGAACATTAGCCAGTGGTCGATCAAGACCGAGGACCAATTCGTCAAGCAACGATATGGAGGTATACAAGAAATTTAAAGGAAATGTAAGCGTTATTTCAAGTGACCCTCCATCCAAAGATGGGAATACCTGATTGTCTGATCAAGTATAAATTAGATATCAATGCTTTTGTTCCTTTAAACTATTATTTTCTACGAAAGAGAACTGCGCATTTTTGATCAAATTAAAGTTGAAAGGATACCTTTGTAAATCGGACATAGCCATCTTAACATGAAGGATCACTTTAAACCACGCTTACAGTCCCTTTAAACAACTAAGCGGAGGGAGTAGTGTTTGTTTAGATTCTACTGTGACGTATTGTGACCACATTACATAGAACAGGTTTTATTGTAAACATCTAGTAAACAGTGATTGTCCAGTCACGGTCCTCTCTTTTCCAAATAATTGATTTTATTTCCAATTAAACAGGTTCATGAGCTATACTTTTTCGTCACAGTAAATCATAAACAACCCACCCACCCCTCTCTTTAGGTCAACTGTTATTGGAGGTGAGCAGTTTATAAACTTATGCAATTATGTTTGTTTACATAATATCATAATATAAGTTAAGTTATAAGTTTCGGGCAGAATGTCAAGAAAGAACAAACTAGATTTCTATTTTAAAAAAAGGTTGCAAACAACTTTTAGATGGTTATTTCTCATGTCGATTTGATGTGAAAACTGAAACCTTTTTAAAAATCATTCATCAGATATAAGATTAATTGATTTATTGTGAAGGATTTGAATTCGGAGTGAAGAACCCGATGATCTTAAAGAATATGACGTTGATGAGGGAGGTCTTCGAGAGGATAGTGGCGGCAGCAAATCAGGTTGGAGAAGCATCCTTCATTCCATCAATTAATCGATTAATCATTTAATTGATCAGTAAACGTATTAATCATTTGATCAATTAATTATTAAATTGATCAATGAATTTTTTCAATATTTGATCAATTAATGTTTTTATCATTTGATCAATTATATGAATTATATAAATTATATAGATTGTAAATTGTAAATTAATTAATCAATTGATCATTTAGTAGGTTAATAATTTGATCAGTTTATCAGTTAATCAATTATTTAATTAATTAATTAATTAATCAATCGGGTTCTTTAATTATATGTGTGCTTTAGGGAAGAAATGTGTTTTCCGGGTTTGTGGAGGCAACAGCTGTAGACGCTCTTTTCGGGTATTTTATTATTATTATTATTATTATTATTATTATTATTATTATTATTATTATTATTATTATTATTATTATTATTATTATTATTATTATTATTATTATTATTATTATTATTATTATTATTATTATTATTATTATTATTATTATTATTATTATTATTATTATTATTATCATTATTATTATTATTATTATCATCTAGGTATATAGATACACTGCTGGACCCGAACATGTTTGATAATATCCGAATCTGGTTTAATAACAAGGGTTGGGCTGCTTCTGTCGCCTACATGAATGCTGTTAACAATATTGTTCTCAGGTATACAAATTGCAATAACAATTGCTTCCTACCCCTCCTGCCCCTTGTATTACACGCAATACCGCTTTAAAATTGCAAATACGGAAGCAATTTTGCTTTGTAATTGAATATGTGGTTTAAGTTATTTGCATAGATCAATCAAAATAATATATGTTCTTCGCCGACTGCGCGAAACTCCTGTAGGCTTCTGCCTCAGGGTATTAATTAAAATAACATATGTTCTTCCCCGATTGCGCAAAACTCCTCTGGGCTTCTGCCGGTAATGTTACTTCTGTCGGACAGCATTTCCGTCCTACAGTACTTCCGTCCTATGATACTTCGGACCTACGCATTACATTGGACCCTACGACAGCTGTAGGTTGGATGATTTTTTTAATCCGACCTTCGAAGGACTGCAGATATTGTCAGTATGTAGTTGATGTAGTTGAAGGTCGATGTTCCGGTTGCACACAAATTTAAGTAGGTCAGATGCACACTTTTTAAGTAGGTCGGATGCACAACTTCTGTAGGTCGGATGCAAAGATTTTGTATGTCAGATGCACAACTTTTGTAGGTCGGATGCATAACTTTGGTAGGTCGGATGCAAAAAAAGTTGGTTTATCCGACACACTATAGGTCGGTTGCACAGCTTAATTAAGTTGGTTGAACTTTTCTGTAGGTCGGACGCACAATAATTGTCTTCACCTAACCTAACCCCACATATCGGCTATAACTTTATCATTTTGATAAATGTGGCCGCAGCGCTCGGCCCCCTAGCCTGTCCTAGCTGCAGCGCTCGGCCCAGAAATTGTCTTGACCTAACCTAACCCCACATACTTCATCAGTAGCACATATTAAACAACTTTAGGAGTATCTACAGTTATAACAAGAAAACAATGGAATCAGAGAACGACCAATACTAAGTGTTTTTGATATTGATACGAAGCAAATAGTTTTGCCTGACAATTAATGAATTACTAATTTAGTTAAATGAGTCTGTAAACACTAAACAATTGCTGTGTCTCGTGCTCATTGGACTTTTTAACGTTTTAACTTGATTCGCGTCGTCTTTCTTATTTTTCACTCCACTTTTTTCAATACAAATTACATATTTTTAATACATTATTATATATTATCATTATTATTATTATTATTATTATTATTCAAATATATTTACTATGTTATGGAAAAGTTGTGACAATTCTTGTGCAGGTAAAGTAAACATGGTTTTACATCAAAACTTAGATTGAATCCTAAACAAACATATCTACAATATATAGATCTATAAATGTATGCAAACAGAAATATTTTCAACGATGTTTAGATATTCAAATATGATCAATAGCAGAAGAGAAAATAAATTAAGAAAGAAAAAAAGAAAGAAAGAAAGAAAGAAAGAAAGAAAGAATCAGCTTGGTGTCCCTGGACACTTGAGGACATTCGAGTCCTAGAAAATGTACAAAAGCGAGCCATAAATATGATCTCAAACCTGCAAAGCGTTTCATATGAGGACAAAATAAAGGAAGTTGGTATCCAAACCTTGGAAGCTAGGAGGTTAAGGTTTGACATGCTACATACATACAAAACTCTGAACCATAAGATAGCTGTTAATCCAGATATATGGTTTACCAGGGTCCAAGACATCAGCCTAAGAACCACTCGTCAATCTGACAACTATATGAATCTACAAATAAAACAGTGCAAAGGAGAAATTCGAAGGAAATTTTTCAGCAATCGAGTTGTCCAACCATGGAACAATTTACCTGCAACTATTCAGAATGCCAAGAATGTAGACAGTTTCAAAAGAATGTACGATGAACATGTGAAAATGTGAATGATATAAACAATGATGGCCAGAACTGTAGTGAACTAAAATCATTTACAGTTAAATCAAGAAATTCTCATTATACTCCAATAGGAGTCCTGAGAATCAATACCACATAAACATAAACATAAACAAGAAAGAAAGAAAGAAAGAAAGAAAGAAAAAAAGAAAAAAATTCAAAATTTTTAATTTTGTTTTCATGTTTTAGAGCAACAGTAAAGCAGACTGAAGAAGACGACGTGGACGCTTTCTTAAACGGTAAATTATTTTTTCTTTTTTTTTACATTTCTTAATAAATATTTTTACTATTTTTCAGATTTTGATTCCTCCACTGATAATAAATATGACACCTCACAGTATGGAATTAGGTAAAAAAAAAGGGTAAAATGAACTATTTACTTGATTGAATTATGATTTGTCATTCGATTTTATACCCTTTCGTGCTCAATCCGTTATATATGCATAAACTAAATGTTGGTTTTCTAAATGTGAACTTCTTTCAACGCTCGGAATTTTTTGGATTCTCATGATCCCGATATCAACAGTGGGCATTTATGAGGATCAAATCTAAGTCTTTTCATTTTAGTTGCAGGGTACAATTACGCTGCGTGTATCGAATAAAGATAAAATAATTAATCTGCAGATTAACAAAAGATCAACTTAAAGCATTGATCTCAATATCCAAAATACATGAGTTCCCAGCTCTGAAAAAATTTAAACAAGAAGAAAATTTTTAAATCCCCCCCTTCTCTTAGATGAATATATTTGTACCAGTATTCATTTGTTTACTTATTTGTTTGTTTGTATCAATGGTTAATGTTCAGGTTGATTTCCCATCCAATGAACTATACAGAGACACAACTTGACAAAGAACTCATTCGACAAGTCGGGATAAGGGAGACATGCATTCATTCATCCTTTATCCATTCTTCCATTCATCCACCCATTCATCCATTTATTTATTTTTTCACCCTTTCATTCATTCATTCATTCATCAATTCATTTATTTATTCATCCTTTCATTCACCTAATCATCATTCTTTTATTTATTCCCTTATATTTCATTCATTTATTTATTCATTCTTTCATTCATTTATTCATCATTCTTTTATTTATTCCCTTATATTTCATTCATTTATTCCTTTTTTAATGCAATCATTCATCCTTTAATCGTTTCACCCGTTCATTCTTTTATTGATTTTTATTCGTTTATTCATCAATGCATTCATGAATTCCTTTATACATTTTTTAGTTTTCAATTATTCATCTATACATTTATTCATTCTATGCATTTATACAGATATTCTTTTATTTGATTATTCATTTATTCATTTATTCATTTGTTCATTTGTTCAATTGTTTATTTATTCATTTAATCATTTATTCATTTATTCATTTATTCATTTATTCATTTATTCATTTAT